AAAACTTTACATAAACATATCACTTATAGACTGATAAGGACAGGGCATGTACAGAGAGGCATGCATTATAAAAAGCATAACACACAGGGCCAGATTATGATTATGCCAGTGGAGAGAAAACAAAAAGTAGAACAGGAGGCATAAAAATGCTGCCTTTGTACCATTCTTACTCTCTAATCCTGAAACCCTGCAAAATTCTGTGGGGTTGGGGCTCTGTGGGTAATTGGGAGCAGAGCCAGCAAAGGGGATGGAGCTGGGAAGCAGCTGCACTCTACAACATTCCAGACCCCACACATCATTAACTCCTGCTGGGTCCCCTCTTTGACTACTAGTATTCAGCCAGAGGAAGAGGCAGCCAATGGCACACTATGGTGTGGCCTGTGTAGCTTTATAGAAGCAGTCAGGGTGGGATTCAAAAGGTGGACTTGGGAGCCACAATGCTTAGTGCTCAGGTTTCCTAATGTGGGTTGTGAGGGACTTGGGATTTATTTTCTCCTCTGCCAAATTAAATATCCATTGGGTAAGAGAGCGAGAGAGAGAGAATGACTCTATAGCCCAGCAATTCAGTAACTCACCTGGGAAAGGGGAAGACTTTAGTTCCAGTTCTCCTGCTCCACTGAACATTTAATTATTTATAGACAGTGGAATAGCTTTAATAGAAAACACTGAGAGAGGCATAAACCATAGCCCAATGGCTAAGCACTCTCCTGAAAGGTGAAAGACTCAATTCCCTGCCCTACATCAGACAAAGGAGGATTTGAACCCAGGTCTCCTACATCCTGCGTGGCTGCTTTAACCACTATGCTAAAGATAATCAGGCAAGCATCCGCTTTTCTCTAGTGTCTTCTGTGGGGGTTTAGGCATGCTCTGAGTACACCTACCGGTTTGGGTCCCAAAGACAAGATAGGTGGGGGAATGCCTAGTTTATGAATGAACCCCACTGTGGCTTGGGCACCAAGCTGTTGGGGTATTATCAGAACTGAGATAGCTGTGTGCATGCCCAGATACTGAAATGTAGGTTCCTGGGGGACTTTAAAAATAGAAGCTCAGGTGCCATGGGACTTCAGTCAACTATAGGGTTAGGAAGCAGCTGAGTGGTAGTTTTGTGAATGCCAGTGACACCTAAATGTTGGACTGAGGACCTAAAGTGGCAGCCAGCACCTACGTCCCCCTTGTGAATCCCTCCTCTAGTATCTACACATATCCTAACATCCACATGGACCTTGGGACATTTGCTGGTTTGAGTGGACAAATTCTATGACCACTCTGGGATAGAGCAACCCCTTTTTCCTTATAAATTGATTAGTAGGGAACTCTGTGAGCTGAAATTTGTTCTTGCTCCAAAGAAACATATAGGCATAAAAAGATTTCCACTAGTATTAGATATTTCATAGAGGCAGCGAGCAACATTTCAGACCTCTACGTTGAGCCTCTTCCTAGTGGGTATCTGCACTCTCATACCTTTAAAATTTTAATGGCTATATGAGATATCATGTGATTTTTTTGAGGTTTACTTCATGATACTCTTCCTGATGCAATACAGAATCTTTTGCAAAATCTACTCTGTGAATTCCTCTTAATTTATATCAGATCTCACCATATTTCCCAATTGATACCATATTACTCCATCCCAAGGCTCAAGTATCACAGTAGAAGTTGACACAAATATTCAAATCCAAATTAAGTAAAACTTTATAAAGAACAAGGGAAGAGAAAACAGAAAGGTTTTCAGCTCTAAGTATGTCATCTATTATGAGCCCTAATTAACACATACAAAAGAAGGAGAACAATACCAGCAGCTTTCTCTCAGAAGCCCAAACCATTATCCAACAGTGTCACATAACAGAAATGAAAAGGGAACAATTACACAGGAATGGAGCAGAGTCAAGGGGGACTTAATGTTTTTGAAAATAGGCTGTTTGGGCCCAAGAATCGGACACAAACTCTGCTGCTTTGGAGGCAAGGAGCTCTGAGGTGCAACAGAAGCTTTTGAAAGAAACAAAATGTAAACTGGTCCCATTAGACAGATAACTAAATACATGAAAGTGAACTATTCTGAATACAGTTTAGTAATATACAGTTCATTGTATAGAGTAAGCCATTTGATCTATATAAGTATGCAAAGGACAGGTTTGTAGTTCAATTAATGAAGACAAATTGTGCTTGAAAGCAAACTGTATACATTATAAACTTAATCAATGAGAACCAATTTCTAGTCCTACTGAAGCCAATGGCAAAACCCCCAGGACTTCAATAGGACCAGGATTTGGCCCTACAATGCAATATAATCCGTGAACTATCTGGTAATTACCACTGAAGCACAGAATCTGATCAATAATGTTTACACAGCAGAGTTCAGTCAGGGCTAGATTATGCTTTAGCATGGAGTATACAGTAACAGATTAGTGCAAGGTACACTGCCCCATTGTGTGTAATACGACAACCTGGCTGCACTGGGTGTGTTGAGAGAGAAATAATTGATTACACACCTCTAAAAAGACTCCACACAACAGGCACACGATGAGCCAGCCTAGGGGAAGGTAGAGCCATGGGTTTCCCTAATGCCTACTTTAGTCCTCCCTGCCAACTTGTTCTTGGGAGGAGCCTGTGGGCTCCCCAAAGTGGTGGGCTTGACATTGTGGCTAGCCCTTTCTTGGGCTGTAGGGAGAGAGGGTGGGTAAGGGGAATATTTACTCTTGTTTCTGTGCCGCTGCATAAAGATAGGGCACTATCTAGTCCGTAATCAGCCCACTGATAAAAGAAAGCCTTCTTAATTGACGGAATAGGGTCAGTGTAATGCATTTTTCAGCATCTCTAAAAGCTGGATAAATGGCACACAGGATGTCTTCAAAGCTATCATAGTAATTTACAAACATGAATTGGTATTTTCTAGTATAAAAATCTTGTTGTTAAACCCTGTGGGTGCTTCATGCTGCTTTCCTGTTCCAGTTATGACTGATAAGTCAACCTATATGTTTGAGGGTCTGAGTGCATTATACTATGCTTATTTTCACAAAACAGAAGTGAATATTTACAAGAAAAATGTATTCCTATAAGGCCCAGATAATTGGGAAGATTGTCTAATGGCATGAGCCTATTTCCACCAGGATGTACCAATTAAGGGGATTCTACTGTAATGTGATTAGTAAAAATGTGCTACACTTGCAAAATATATAGCCTGATTAGGTAAATGACTGGTAAAAACTGGATGACAATGCAGTCTACTCTGTAAATTATTATAAAGTTTACTCAGTCCCTTTGGACTCAGCAGATTGGGAGCTTCTGCATCTGGACTAATGGAAAGCATCAAGATGGAAAAACTTGACCCCCTGCAGTAAATAGTTAACTACACATTAAGAAGGTGTAAATTCTAACTTCAGTATCATGTCATAAATAAGGGTCAAAAATTTTGGAACTACTAGTTCCAAGAAAGATTAAAAATCACACAGATAAAAATAATTTTAAAAGAGGTTCAAGAAAGTAAGACAGAACATAAAAGCTAAACATGAATGGAGTTACTTATTTTAAACTAATATAACTAAGAAACACAGACACATGCAATACAAAATACAACTGATAAATCTCCAGATACCCAAAAATCCACTATGTTATAAACTTGCCTTTTCTCCCATTAATCGGTGGATTTTGATGTTTTTCCTCATAATCTTTATGACATTAAAAACAGACAATGCTGATTAATAATTAAGACTAACGATAACATGAACAACTTAAGCATAGCACACAAGGGGAAAGTGCAAACTATGAAAACACAAATCCATGCACTATGTTTGAACTATCACATGACTGCACAATACATATACAGAGACACAACAACAAAAAACAATAATGTAAAATGTGCAACTTAATAAAAATAGCAGGTGTTTATGATCACAAAGGCACAACTACATTGCTCTAATAATTCCACTCTGAAAATAAATAAATGCTATAGGTCAAAGACTACATCCACAGAACAAATTATTTGTGAGATGAGCTTTAACCTGAAAATTGTAACAGATAAACTGTCTTTGACCTACTTAAATTGTAATGTGTGTAATTATACATTTACATCTTTTTAACATTCTTCCTTTAAGGAAGAATTTTGAGAGCCAGGCTGCAAAAGTGTAGACAGCTGAATAAATCCTTTTGAGCTCTGTATGTTATTGTAACTGTAGGAAGCATGTTTTCTGTTATTAGAATGAGCTATCCTAAACATTTTGAACACACTAGTATTTGGGACAATTTTAAAAAAAATTCTTTACCATTTGCATGTCTATTTGATTTACAAGGGACAGCATCAATTATAAAAGTTTCAAATTTTGTTTTTTTTAGCCTCCAAGCGGGCCTGATTTCCCCTAGCCCTCCTCATACTTGACCTCCCATTTGTATCAACTGAAATTTCTTGCAAGCAGGATCAGGGCCATTGCTTGAAATACATACTTAGGAGCTTTAAAATAACATAATCTTCTCTGCTAATTTTGTACTTCGCAATCACTTCTCTACTGATCTGTATTTTTTATGGACAACAGAGCAATATGACAACGTCTTTACTTCCTTGCTTGTCAAAAGCACTATGACTAATGTTAGCACGGTTCTGTGACAGGGCTTGTTAATTAACCTGGGCTTATTCTGATGATTGGATGGCAATCTCTGCAGAAACACAAGAAAAATATTGCAAGACTACGCATTTAATAAATGGTGAGATTTGTTCTTGGTGACAGAACAGAGGATTTTTATGAAAATGGATCTCTAGAATCCAGATGACAAGATTATAACAATTTTGTAGGTTGAACATTTGGTTGGGAAATGCTTGACAGTGTTCCTGTAAGCATTTAATATAATCCATGATGCACTGTTTTTGTTTGCTTTGGTCTTAAATAAAATGAAATTATCACTGTCTGGCTTTTGCATCTTAATATATTTCCAAGCTAGCTAGAGAAGTTTGCATATGTGCTCATAGGGAAACATATCTAAAGGGGATATGCAGATGTGGTCAGACAGACCTGCCTCAACCTCTGACCCCTGCTCTCCAATATGCTTGTTTTCTTCATCTCCTTCTGCATTCATATAAGCAAAACAGAAAAAAAAGTGAGACAAAAACATGTATACGTTGTTACAAGCTGATCAAATAAACAATAAATGTCAAATAAATAATATACAATTCCTCACTATTTGGCACAATTTTTTTTTTTTGAGTGAATCAAGGGTGAAATAAATCCTGTGTATGTGGACGCACCTAATTCTAGTAGCACCAAATCCTGTTTTGCTTTTTTATGCATGACTTTCATTTAGTTCAATGAAATTTTTGTGCAAGGAAAGAAGGTAGGATGTGGCCCTTAATATTCCTGACATGGTGGTTTCTGAATTAATTAGTGATGCATAGAAAAGCAGACAATAATTATTGAAGCAGAGAAAAGCAGACACAGCATAAGCTTTAAAGATCTAAAGTAAAAGCATCCACTCTAGTTTGGTTTTGTTTTTTCTTGCAACAATCCTCCAATCAGTGAACAGCTGATTTAAATATGTGGGCAAATCATCAGTAAGAATTTGAGAATTACCTGCATATGCCCCCAAAGAGCAATGTGAAAATAATTTCCCCCTCCCCCAAGTTCAGTCACTTGCAAAGAAAAAAAAAAGGAAGATGATGATCAATTTGTAACTAAACAGCAAGTTAGCTGAATTTCAGAAAACCTAGAATTCAACAAAAACATTAACTCAATTAACTTTTCTTTAGGAACTACAATTAAAATGAAAGTGCTAGTATAAGTATATGTAGATTTTACTGCCATCTGAAAAAGTGCAAAACAGTCAGTAAAGACAACATCAGATAGTATATTATTATAAGATAAACAACATAAAATATAAATCTTATTTGATCTATTTAATGTACCAGTGAGTACATATAAAAAAAGAACCAGAACTCTTTCTATACAAAATATCTGTGACCATAGTAACTACAGTAGACAGAGAAAAAGCATGTTGAGTTGGACACTTATTCTTTCATAAACCCAAATTTTTGAATGCAATTAATTTATTTGGTTTGTTTTAACTTATTTTTAACATTACATTTTTTCTGTTATTTATTGACAGTTTCTCGCAAAATTTTAAAAGAAATATTTGTATTTTGCTTCCTCACTGAGTGTGATGTTCTGTTTCTAATTCTTTGTTAATGATTCCACTACTACATAGGTTTATTATAATTTTACTTGTAAACATATTGTGCAACTAACCAGTATACTGAATCCCTAGATATTGGGATTTTCTAGTTTGTACTCACAACTTAAAATTACTGATACCAAGGCATTAATATTAATATTTAGACAATAAGTAGTGTCAGTATAATGGAAATAGATGGGTGCTTAGATTTTTCTCTAGAATTCTACAATAAAGTTATGATATTTCAGATTATTAATAGCACATTGTAGTCAGCAGAAAAACTGATTTAAATGGGAGCAGGATTAGGTCTGCTATGGCTGTGTTAATGGAAATACAAGATCGGTTCCACTAAAAGTTTGCAAAACTGAGCTAGAATGTTATTGGTACCCAGGGATACTAATATAGGACTCAACTATGGGCTGTCATAAGCTCCAAGCAAGGGGCAGTGCATTGTTGCACTACCACAGGAGCAGACTGGAAGCATATTATAACTCTCCTCTCTGAGCTTCTGACAATAATCAAGGTAGCCAGTGCAAGGAAATAAGGCGGTGTAAACTGGGCCCCAGTAAAGTGCACATTATCCCAGATTAACTCTGTGTGGAATGAGAATGTCCACACATAGTGTTAATTAAGAATGGTTAATCAGAAATAACTACATATGTAGACAAGCCCTAAGTGACTTGTCCAAGGAGAGAAGGGTGGCAGAATGGTATTAATAAAAGGCTGTATCACAGTTCATATATGCAAGGAAGACAAATTAAAGTTACATGAACAACCTTAACATGTCTTTTTCCTAACTTCTGAGTACTTGACTTTGCAACCATAACGTTCTTTTAAAATTATTTTTCAACCTCATAGGTAATTTCCCTCTTTTTCCCACTCTTATTTTTAAGAGCAACTGAAAAACCAGAAATTCCATCATATGGACCCATATTGATTATCATTGGTCATCAGTAGGGTACACAGCACCTTTAGGTTCATAGCACAGACCTCTATAGACTGAATTAAAGTAGTAACCAACACTACAGGGGAATGCAACACACTCTTTGCCAGTAGTTTATACAACTAATTGATAGCAGAGAAATACTGGGAATCAGGAATTCAGAGTTTAATTCCCAGCCTGGAGTAGAACCTGTAACCCACCCTGAACCCAAAAGAACAAGTGGTTGGGTTGGGTTAGGTGGGAAAACAAATGGACTGTCTCAGGCTTGGGTTGGCTTCCCTCCTTCTGCCTTTGGGGTTGTCACCATATCAGCTGTGTGCCCCGTCCCTGCAGGCCATCGCCACCTTGCTATCTTGTGTGTGCTCTGGAGACAGTGTGCTGGTGAGTCAGAGCACCTCTCACTCTGCAGCAGGCACAGCGCAGCAGGATGTGGCAGACATCAGAAGCAGGGCACACAGCCACTGTCTCGCCCACCTCATGGGCAGGAGGAGGAGAGCTAATCCCATAGGCAGGAGATGGCAGCAGTAGAGCTGACTCAGGTTCAGAAGGAAGGCTCAGGATTGGGTCAGAAAACAACCTGACTCTTAGGTTGGGTGGGCTTGGGTCTAAGTTGGGTCCAGGTCAGACCTAAAACTTAGGCCCAAGCTGACCTCTACCCTAGAGGATCATAGAATCATAGAAGATTAGGGTTAGAAGAGACCTCAGGAGGAGATCTAGTCCAACCCCCTGCTCAAAGCAGAACCAACACCAACTAAATCATCCCAGCCAGAGCTTTGTCAAGCCTGGCCTTAAAAACCTCTAAGGATGGAGATTCCACCACCTCCCTAGGTAACCCATTCCAGTGCTTCACCACCCTCCTAGTGAAATAGTGTTTCCTAATATCCAACCTAGACCTCCCCCATTGCAACTTGAGTCCATTGCTCCTTGTTCTGTCATCTGCTACCACTGAGAACAGCCTAGCTCCATCCTCTTTGGAACCCCCTTTCAGGTAGTTGAAGGCTGCTATCAAATCCCCCCTAACTCTTCTCTTCTGCAGACTAAACAATCCCAGTTCCCTCAGCCTCTCCTTGTAAGTCATGTGTCCCAACCCCCTCATCATTTTTGTTGCCCTCCTCTGGACTCTCTCCAATTTGTCCACATCCTTTCTGTAGTGAGGGGACCAAAACTGGATGCAATACTCCAGGTGTGGCCTCACCAGTGCCCAATAGAGGGGAATAATCACTTCCCTCGATCTGCTGGCAATGCTCCTACTAATACAGTCCAATATGCCATTAGCTTTCTTGGCAACAAGGGCACACTGCTAACTTATATCCAGCTTCTCGTTCACTGTAATCCCCAGGTCATTTTCTGCAGAACTGCTGCTTACCCCAGCCTGTAGCGGTACATGGGATTCTTCCGTCCTAAGTGCAGGACTCTGCACTTGTCCTTGTTGAACCTCATCAGATTTCAGCAGTTTGCTGTTCCAGGTCAATGGGGGCTGCGGGAAGCGGCGCAGGCCAAGGAATGTGCTGGCCACCATTCCCGCAGCCCCCATTGGCCTGGAATGGCGAACCACGGCCATTGGGAGCTGCGATCAGCTGAACGTGCGGACACTGCAGGTAAACAAACTGTCCCAGCCCGCCAGCGGATTTTCCTGATGGGCCGCGTGCCAAAGTTGCTGATCTCTGGCCTAAAGCTATTGCATCTCCCATAGCAGGTTCAGTAGAGGATGGGCATATACTCAGGGCATGTAATGAGCTCATGTTGGGCTGGAAAAAGTTTAAGGCACATGGAACGTTCAGACATTTTAGTACCCCTGCTCTAAAGGCTATACTGAACATATGTAAAGGACGATGCTCACAGACTTAGAACTTGGATAAATCTGAGTGGGTTTTCATAAGGACAGAAAAAGGAATTGGCCCTCACACTATCCCTCTGTTAAATTTCAAGTCCCTGCTCTATAGCATGGAGGTATTAGAGCTCTTCAAAGAAACAGTTGGACAGTAGTTTTTGCAAATCAGCCTGAGACGGAGAGCAAACATGGAAAATTTCAGCCCCAACACTTAAAGTTTGGTGAAGTTATTAGCAATTGAAAATGGGAACTTACAACAGAAAGTATTATGCAACTTTAACTATAGATGTTGCTACCGGTTCTATTATAATTTCAATGTAGTATAGATCTTAATAAACAATTATTTACAAATTAAAACACAGAAGATTATCAATAATTTATGACTTTTTTGGAGAATAATGAGTGAAGCATCGATCACTTCAAAGCGTTTCAAAATCTTTTGAAGTGGAAAGTCTTATTGCTATAATTGAATGTAGTAGATAGGGCTAAAATATGGGAAGTCAAGAAGTCCGATATTTGAAATAGTTTTAAAAGTAATTTCATGGGGTTTATATTTAAAATATAGACTGCAGGCAGTTACTGAATTTAGCCTTGTTCCAAAGCCAAGTAGAACCAAGACTTGCATTTCAGCAACGTATAAAGTAAAACCTCTTAGTTTCCTCCTTTTAGATTAGCAATAGTTGTAAACATTCACTGTTAATAAGCTTTTGATGTCTCCAACACCATTATAAAATTGTAGGAGGTGTATTTTCAGCTCAGTACACACAGTTTTAGCTGTGTAGCTCCACTTAATACTAAAAGGAGTTGTGTAGCTAAAGCCCAGAACAAAATATTGAGAATATTCCTAAAAATTAGAAAGAAAAGATCCAACATAAAAAATAAGTGTTTTCTAGTCGAAAATACCCTTGAAATATTATATACTTAAAAAGCACACAAACAAACAAACCACCTTCTAGATCCAGACACTTCACTGCAGTACAACACTTTTGTACTGGTTCATCAACACAAAGAGGTCATAAATGTGGCAGATCTAGCCAACTGTGGATTCCCTACTATGCTCTTGAGAATGGACCGGCCCCTGGCTGCCACAGGCAGTCACCATAGTTTAAAGCAAGCTTTCAGGCTGTTCCACACTAAAAGCTGAGTTCTCAGCTACAACAAAAGGGGACCTAGATTGGGGAGCTGTGAATAGCTCATTTGTTCCCAGCTAGAATCACAGCACTTTTACTATTTTTCTTCAGACATGTGTAATAAGTGTCTGACCCTGAAATGAGTATAGATCATGCTCTTTTTTAAACCTTTTTCCTTCTAGTACAATACAGAGATGACATGGACTAACTCCTGTTTGTTACCCTTTGATACATTTTTAATTATCTTTTTTGTTACATTAACATCTGAACTTCAACTGGTCAAAGCTAAAATGTTGGATTTTAAAATGCAAGGAAGTTATATAATACAGCATATTCCACGTACAGTACTCAATCCTATATTTTACAGTCATTTTCTTTAAATCATGGGAAAGTTTGCCCTCTTTCTAGCCACATTTACATCACTTTTACAGACCAATTCTTAGCATGTGTTAGTACAATGCCTAGCACGAGCATCTGAGCCTGACTGCGGTCTCTGCGTACTATCGCGCTACTTATAATGATAAATAATAATCTGCAGAATTCCTGACAACTTTCAGTTTTACTTGCTATTGCCTTTAATGCTGTTCTTTTTGCCTCAATGTTCTACTCAGTTTTGTTAGGTTTCAGAGTAGCAGCCGTGTTAGTCTGTATCCGCAAAAAGAACAGGAGTACTTGTGGCACCTTAGAGACTAACAAATTTATTAGAGCATAAGCTTTCGTGGGCTACAACCCACTTCTTCGGATGGCCTCTCAGAGTTGGTAAGACAACTCCCACCTGTTCATGCTCTCTGTATGTGTGTGTATATATATCTCCTCTATATATGTTTCACTCTATATGCATCCGAAGAAGTGGGTTGTAGCCCACGAAAGCTTATGCTCTAATAAATTTGTTAGTCTCTAAGGTGCCACAAGTACTCCTGTTCTTTTTTCAGTTTTGTTAATTATTTATTAATTAAATAACTCTTCCATTGTGGTCAATGTTCTGGGTTCCACTGGTTTTCAGTCTGAGCATCATCAGAATCTTGCATGCTTTTGTTGTTGTTGTAACAACAGCAATATTTTGGGACATAATCCACATACTTAAAATTGTATCCATTTTTTTTTTGTAAAATGCAATCTTCCTTTGCAATCAAGCCACACAGAATGACAGCATAGTAATCATAATTTCATTGAATCGCAGTCAGAGGTTACTTACAGTAACTGCATAAAACGAGTCACAAAATGGAGTTACCTGGTTCCTGAATTACCACATGAAAAAAACTATGTAGAATATTGAGACAAAGATTGCATAGCTGAAGGTTATGGCAGATAAGCTAGGGTATATAAAAGTAAAATATTTATATTTATTCTACATAGTCCCTTTAATTACATTTATACTTTTTCTTCACATATTATAGAAAAAAATATATATATATACAAAATTTAAAATGCCATAGGTCTAGCCATTATGGCCTGAACGTATGATCATACTTCGATTGTATATTAAACTCCAATATCTATGTACTTTACAGTTCTCTGTAACCCAAATCTTCAGAAAAATCTACTTTTTAGATTGATATTCAGTAATAACAAAATACCACTTCATCCTTTGAAACCTTCAGTGTAGTGTCTCATATATCAGTACAGCCAACAACTCTAGATTTCTCATAAACAAATATTATAATCTTTAAAAATATATTTATCATGGTAGTGCCTAGGAGCTGACTGAGTACAGGGCCCCATTGTAGTAAGCCCTGTACAAACTCAGAGTAATAGCCAGTCTCAGCCGCAAAAGCTTACAATCTAAATAGATAACACAGACAAAGGGTTGGGGAAAAGGATAGAACATACAAACATAGTGAACAATGGCACAGATGTCATGTTAGTATATTATCTCCTGGCATAGCTAGACTACATTTAACTGTGATATAAGCATTTTCACAACACAAAAGACACTGCAGAAAAGTACACAGTAGGGTAATGATCTGGAGAGTCTGATTCCAAAATTGAAATAAACACCATAAACACTAAATAAAAAATCGGTTGAGACAGATATGTATAGACCCTCAGTGACATAAAAAAGGACTGCAATTGATATCTTCTGGTTTGTCATGAAGAAAATTGAGTATCAAAGCTGGCATTAATTCTATGAAATATTTTTCACTTCAATGGGGAGATTAATTTTTAGCAACATTCTTATTGCTTTTTGTTTTAAGACTACCTTGATTCAGGGAATTTTTATTTCTCGGTCCAATGGGTGTGACTTAAAATTCAGCAATTGCTTTAGACAACAAAATAATGTTACATGTGTACTTGGAGTGAACACTAATGCCCCAATCCCATAAAGATGTATGTACAGGCTTAACATTAAGCACACTGAGAAGCCCAATTGAAATTAATAGGACTACTGTAGTCCTTAAATTTAAATACACGTCTAAGATCTTGACACTGCAAACAGTAATACATGTATTTAACTTCATGCACATGAGTAGTCTAACTGACTTCAGTAGGACAACTCATGTAAGTTTGTGCAGGATCAGGGCCTAAATATTTCCTATACTATCTAAGGAATCACATACAGTCTGATTCTGCAAGGTACTTTAGCATGTGTCTAACTTTAAGCACATGAAGTGGTCTCATTTAATGCAATATGACTACTTCTGTGCTTAAAGTTAAGCACATGCTTAATTACTTTGCTCAATTGCGGCCATATTTAGGTAGTTATCTAAAGCAAAATTCTACATTTTTAGGGCTGACCACTGTACAATTTATGAACTACAAATGGGGAAAAATACATGAGTGAATAATTATCACACAAATTCTTTCACTGACCTAATAAAAGTCTATGCAATCAAGCAACATCAATTGCAGTTGGGTTTATTTTTGCTTATACAGCCTCCCAAAAAGACTTGCAAGCAGAAAACAAACCCTCCTTTATGTACAGACCTTCATAAGGTTCTATCTCCTTGTCTCCATTGTCTAGGGAGAATAAAAATAAAAGAAAAAAGGGAACCAAAGAATAGGGGTTAAAAACAACAGCACTTTTACAAAAGGTATAACATACATCTTCATAAGGAGAAAAAAAAAGAGTGCATGGGCATTTAGACTGATTTTGCAAAGCACATCTATATACTATCAATAGAAAAGCTGAAAATATATTTGATGCCAAAAATGTAGTTTTATTCCTATGATTTTGAAGATTCCTGAAAATGTTTTGTCTACTGAACAATGCTTTCATGAGGCATTCAAAGGAACAGTATTGACAGTATCCATAAAATATGCATCGCCAAGCATCTTGCTGGTATTTATTTTTGTTGTTAAAGATGATGACCTTTTTCCTGTTCCTTCTGTGTCAAGAGTGATATCTATATTTATGCATGAGCTAATCATCCTTTGTACTTGTGAGATTTTTCCTTGACTGTTGTTAGCATAGGAGCTCTGTACTACTATTCTACCACACACTGATCCTGATCCTAGAAAAGATGCTACATTCTCAAAACCAGGGAAGACAGTGGGCACTCAGAACCTTTCAGGATTAGACATTTTATGAAACACATTCATTACAGCAGAGTTTTATCAACAAAATGCAAAGCAACTGATATAGGACCTTCTGCTCCTGTTGAAGTCAGTACAAAATGTCCATCGACTTCAATGGGAACAGAATTGAGTCAATGCATAGTCCACTTTGGTCTCTGTTTATTGAATTGTTTTGATGATATAGATTAGTTTAATTCAAGTAGCAGTAGATGTTAGACTGACTTTGAAAGAAATGGCGGATGATACAAAACACAAAACTATTGGCAAATACTGGTTCTACACAGGAAAAACTCAAGACCTTTAGGTTCTAATTCCAAAAGAAAGGTAGTAAATAATAACCAATCCCCGCTTCATTTTAGCAATCCACAAACAATTCTGAAGTCACAAAAAAATATCACTTACTTCTTTCCAATGTCCCCTTTGGTGGGAGCTGCGGTAACTGCCTGCCCCTTCGTCCTGCTACTGGAGTACTTGATGGGCTTGTTTGGACAGACCCAGTTCGAGGATGTGACCTACAGGACACACATCAAACAAAACATGCCCTTTAAAAGTCACATTCATCCTTAGATACCTACAGAGCTAATACAATGACTAAGAAAATTTTGGTGAACTTAGGACCTTTGAGGTACTGTAATGGTACTGCTGTCTTTTTTCATAGAAGGGCTAGCTGACAATTAAACAGAGAAAACTCTAGCTGAAGAAAAAAGCCAAATAAGGCTAAATATTGAATGTAATATGTTTGTGTAGATGACTGCATATTTTCTGTGTGTATGTATTCATGTATGTGCATGTGTGCTTTTATTATATACACGCATACATACAAAACCATCTAGGGGCCACAAGCTAAGATCCTTATTCCATTATATTCAGTTAAGCTTTGGGTTGGACTAAGTAAAAATGAAGTAAAATAGTGAGAAATGACATCAGGAATTGATTCTTGATATAATTAGCTTTCACTATCAGAAAGCCAAGAAATATATTTTACAATCCTAAACTGAGGTGCTGTTTCATTCAACTTCCTACTCGACCAAATTGGCTCCACATATAGTCGTACTTTCTTTACTGTAGTTGCACTAAAGAGAGTTTACATAAATTGGCAAAATTCTTCATCAGTAGTAATATAATGTACTTAAACAGGAACAAAACAGACTATGGCACAGCAAAATGTACTCAGAGAAAACAGTGGTTAATACACAACGTTAGTACAATCCATTTAAAGAAACTTTTTTAAAAAAAAAAATAGTTTCATTTGATGTTGTTATGATGGTTGTTCCATAAGCGATGTCTGATGAACACAAACAATTTCTCATTCTGTAAGAGAAGAACATGATAGTTATGAGGTGCTTTATGTGGGAAATCACCCGGGATTCCTGATAAATGAGAAATCACAAAACAAATGTAGTTAAATACATTAGTAAACAAATTACAATGGCAGCCACACCATTATATCCACAATAGAATATAAATAGTGTGTTGGCACTGACAGGGTTAGTATCTACAGCTACTAGTGATCAGCCAAAGATGGAAGGCGATACCAATTAACTACTGGGAAAATAAAATGTGAGTTGGTGGGGCAAAGGGAATTAGTCTGATTGATTTGATTTGTCTGTTTCACCTCGATAAGGCAGGTGAAGGAGGGGCAGATCTTCCAGTCATTAATGAAGGCATCGACCTCATGAGGTTTGAGTCAGGACGCTCTGTGGATCGGGAGCGGGAGTTGGTCCGCTCTAGCACAGGACGTTGTTCTGTTGATCTGGATCTTTGATATGGCTGTCTATCTGGTGCTTCACAATTCCTGTAATGTTAGTCAAAAAGCAGCTCAGTTGACCTTTAACTGTTCTGTTAGTTATAAAACATGCTGCTTGGTATTGATTTGGAGAAAAATCATTGTTAAATACATTTTGGTAACTTTTCTGAGTTCGCTTCTTGATAACATACAGTATTTATAGACGTATGCGGTCTCTTATCCAAAACTCTGGATAAATGGGCTAAAATGTTTTCTGTGTCTCAATAATGACTTTCCATGCTATAATCTGTTTCCAGGCAATTTCTCAGTAAAACACTATTATTTTGTTAACCAACTACACCAGTACACCAAACATTGAAGGAAAAATCGATTTGATTAGAGAATATTAAACCTAGTTGATGTTAATAAGTTGCCTGGTTCTGCATTCTCGCTCATATAAGTAGTCCTTACCGATTACATTAACTTCATTAGCACTACTCATATGAACAAGGGTTTGCAGGATAAGGCCCACAGTAAATATTTACAAGCTATATATGATCTAATTACAGTATGTTGATGTCAGCTGTAAGATTTAATTTCAGAAACAAAGGACATCTGTTAATATATACACCATGCATTAAGGATGGCTTCATAAAGTTAGAGTACTCAATGTTCTGGTTAATAGAGACCTCTAGTACCACTATCACAGTACACATTCAGATGTTCCACAGGGTAACATAAGATTTGTCTCTGGTAAAAGTTATCTTCCTGTTTTCTTGATCTAATCTATGGTGCCAATGTAATGACAGAAAGAGGAAAAAATTGAGACGTGAAAGGAAAAGATGGGCAAAAGAAAATAAGAGGTTCCAAAACACCTGACTAAATTAAGATATAATACAAAATAATTTGTGGGGTTCATCTTCATTTGTACTGAAATAATTATTGGATTTCTGTAGTACTTTTCTATCTCGGGTTATAGTCTGATCCTTTTGCTTGCAAAGAGAAATACAAAGGGGAAAAAGTTGGCTAGCAACTTCCTTAAATATACACAATTATTTAAAAACTAAGTTGTACATATTAGTTGGGCTGAATCTGTTATCATTTGTACCTCACACACCGCCAATGGAGTTGATGGAATCTCGACAGAATTACAAACTCTTAACCTAATAGTACCTTTTAAGGCTCTTCCTACAGCTAAGTCCTGTATTTTACAATGAAGTTGGTTAATAAGAAGAGTGACTGGATGGTGATTAAATGTAACAAAAAGTCAAGTTTTAATTAGTATTTTAAATAGAGAGAGAGACTGTAGGCAGCCTCATTATGAAGAGTCTTACGTTATTAACAGCATTATTTTTATAAAAGACTGTACTGAAGCAGAGCAAAGTTTTCTCTAGGGCTGCTAACTTTGCCGAGTGCTTTGATAAAAGAGTCATTAAAATAAATGTCTGTTCGCGCCTTCCATGAGGTATAATTGGATTCGTAGAAAACAAAATGAAATTCTCCCAGGCAGGTCCAGAATAATGCCAGCCACCATTACCCTACTTCTAAAGCTCCCAACAAACAAAACACACCACAATGAGACACATCATGGTAATTATAAACTGAAGGCACTGACAATCAGGGGAGAAGTAAAACTAGCCTGGCACAAAAGCACAAAGATTACCTCAAGTCTTCTTCTGGCTCTATCAATTCTGTTTCTGAATGGGAAGCTTGATCAGCCAAAACATCCACTGCCTCGCTTCTTTAACATTGTGGATAAACAAAGAAGTGTAACCTTAGCTTTGTAATAGATGTTGCTTAGCTTAGATAACCATTTAAAGAAGGATTTCAGTGCTACAAATGATGAGTAAGGGAGTCAAGCATCCACATGGTGGTGAAAAAATAAGCTTTCTGTGGTTACAGAAATAAATTCTGAAGAAAGCAATTACCCCCTAGACCTGAATTATAAAAACAGTGCATGACTGAAGCCAGACTGTGCCTAGTCCTTGTGCAGGTGGGAAAGAGAAGGAGTTGGCACAAGGAACATCTCTCTCTCTTCCTTCTGCCTTCCACAGAGGGGCCAAGCACAACAGGAGTTCTTATACTAAGGGAGTGAGAAAACCCTTGTAGAACTAGTGCTGCTTCCATGCTCATCTCTGTAAAAGAGGCAGTCTCTGCCCACTGTAGGAGTTGGGTTTGCTGTCTGGGGTCAAGCAGTGCCTGGTCCTTGCATCCTCTTCAGGAGGGATGCACATGCTGTAATCTGCAGAAGAAATACAATGCCAACCAAAGAACCAGCTGCAGAAATACAGCTCCACATCACCTATAATATATGGCTGTATTGGTCACAATCTGGCCATAACAGTGGATGGATGAAATTTTTTAAAACCCCTAAGCAATTTAGGGGCATAAGTCCTACTGTCAAATGACTTTCAGTGGGACATGAGTGCCTGAGTAACTAAGGTGCTTTTGAAAATCCTATCCAATATGAATATAATTTATTCATATGAACTACTGAAAGCCATTTTAAAGGGGGAAAATAGATAGTCAAAGTTAAAGCTATCCAACACCCACAGCATTACTTAAAGTGTTTTGAAACTCCTTTGCATTAACAATAGACTTTGTGCAAAGGTTTTCATTTTTAAATCGAATGAAATGTCAGTATGGCCTCCCACTTCTCCTTTAGTACTACCTACTTCACCATCCTTCTATCTCTACTGGCAAAGAACATTCACTTTAGGTGGTCTATTCTCTTATCTGCGTGTGGGAGATTTGTGCATATAATTCTCCCACACACTGACGGAAGAATGGATCAGTAGGTGTTTACATCTTAACCAAGTATATCTATCACATTGACAAAGTTTCAGCTTTCTGTAAGCCACCATGTAGAACAGCACTCTGGCTATTCTAAGTTTAAAATAAACACTTTAAAAGGCCAAAATTTAGAATTACCAAGATGTTATAAGGAAAGTCACCCCTAGTATATAGTAATAATTGTAAATTCTGTTCACTAGCATCTAACTTGAAGGGTTACAATGCCTTGAGTTAACTACTAATTTATGTGCATTGGTTCATGCTCATATTCTGGGAATGTCCAAAGTTAATAGTTTTTTCGATACACAAAGTTAGCATTTCTAATTTTTAATTATTCAAAAATGAATGTTACTTTTCTTAACAAGTAAAAAGGAGAATCTTCATCAAATGAATAAATAGTAATTTATCCAAGTGCATTTGTACAGAAAGACTTTTAGGAGGCAAACAACAGTGAATAATCATAAAAGCTGCCAGTGCATGCACACAGACATCTCACTATTTCCCCAAACAACTGGACGTTCTTCACATATTTTAGCTGCCATCCCATGTGCAATATTCATTTTACTGTGCACAATACATAAAAAGTAGGTTATAGCAGCAGGCCAGTTAGAATCACAGTTTGTTAAAATTTCAAAAGTAGTTAATATGTCCTTGTAACAAAGAACTGAAGAAACAGAAGTACGCTAGAAGTAAATATACACTATGGAAGGGTTTTTAATGCAACTTTTGTGATCATATCAGGCTTTCACTACTTCTAGAAACACTTAGCAAATAACAAGAGAAATACAAAAGGTACAATATCTAATAGTCATTATTTCAAGAATAGGCCAGCTATTATCCAATGGGATACCTGTCAGTGTCCGTGGAAGGTTGCTGGATTTCAATCCTTGGACATGCTGTTCTTCTACTAGCTATAGGAACTTTGCTGTTTAGTCACAGACACAAGATCCTCTGTTAGCATAACATAAATAAGCATGTCTGCAAAAAGTGAGATTTCTAGTAATAACCATTGAGTCATGAATGTTGTAACAGGAAGTGTGCAAAGATGTGAAGAAGTAGTTCATTGTAACAGCACAGAGATAGAGAAATACTGTAACTAGTTAGCAGCAGCAGGTTAATTTCATTTTTATGAGGATCATAATCAAATACATATAAAGAAGCTTAACATAATATAAAAAGTTTGTTCTGGTATAGTATTTAGTGCAGAAAAGAGTTCAATGCTTGCATCTACTCTAGTAAATAAAATATAAATAAAGTAATGTATGTGAATAGTCAATCATATATTATATGGCATATACTATTGTGTGTGTGTTATAACTATATAGAGAATAAGTGATGATATAGTATAAAGATTTTCAGTGGAACTACACTCATTATCTGACTCTTCATTGACATCAGTTTGGGATGGTTGCATTACATATAATGCCATGAGTTAATTACACTAGTCATTCCAAGCAAGTGCCAATAAAACCTTTATGCCACACCATGGTCTCACGTCATCTGTTAATGTTAGAACTACTATTACAGAAATATTTTAGGAAGTTTTTAAAAACTGATTTGGTCCATTTTTCTCCTATCTTTTCTTCCTACAAAGCCAATTCGCTTAATTCTGTTGCCTATCTTTGACCTGAGAGGATAGTCAAATTTCAGGGCCCTGGGGACATTCTACTTGGAAGCAGAAATTGATGGAGACTGGTATTCTTTGATGCAATCTTGTTTATTTACAAGAACTATACAAAGTCCTGCTTCAACAAATGAATGAGGAACCAAAAGAAAGAGAAGCAGTTTCTTAGTTTACAGCCCGAAGCCTCTTTAGCCAACATGCCAAGAATCTCGCTCTCTAACTTTTCCCATGGTCACCCTGTGCTCACAGGCTCCTGCTCGACTTGCTTGACTCTTTCTCTGTTCTCATCTGTTCTCAGTGTGTGTGTGTTCTACTTTCCCTCACACACATCTACATCCACCTACTTGATCATAATACCAAGTGGAATCTCCCGCCCACCTGGTGCTAGTTTCCAGGCACACTCTATTTAGCCTTGTTTTAGGTGTGGCCCCTTAAATATCTCTTACAACTATCTTAAATGAAAGGCGCATTCACACATCAGTTTGAATGAAGTTTTAATCCATTGCAAGATTTTACCCAGCTCATAATAATACCATGAGTTCAACAATATAGGCCTTGGAAGAAAAGAGAAAAAATAATAATACGTTTTTTAAATACTTCTAAGTTACCTGAATAGCTTTTCTTTACATTATATTTCAGTTTAAATATTAAAAAAAAAAATCTCACTAACATCCAAGACTTGGTACAAGTAGAGTGTGTACTGTTCAGGAAGGGGATTCAGGACTTTCTAATTATTAATAAATCTTTCTAATAAATCTTCAGTTGTCACAGATCATATTTAATACTACTTCAAATGAAAGCAGACACAGCACAATGAGGTGATGACATTGTTAGCTTAATTTAAAGGATCCCACTTTCCACTTTTAGGGTATGTCTACACTACCCGCCGGATCGGCGGACAGCAATCAATCCAGCAGGGGTCAATTTATTGCGTCTAGTCTAGACGCAATAAATCGACCCCCGAGCACTCTCCCGTCGACTCCTGTACTCCACTGCCGCAAGAGGTGCAGGCAGAGTCGATGGGGGAGTGGCAGCAGTCGACTCACCACAGTGAAGACACCGCAGTGAGTAGATCTAAGTACGTTGACTTCAGCTACGTTATTCACGTAGCTGAAGTTGCGTAACTTAGATCAATTTCCTCCCCTCCCCTCCCCCAGTGTAGACCAGGCCTTAGATTTTAAGGGCTTGTCCACAGCAAGGGTCTTGATGCACAGCAAGCTGGGTATAAATCTGCGTACACTAGCCTGCTGTGAACTAACTGGCCATGTGGACCCTGATACCCAGTGCACTAAGGGTATGTCTTCACAGCACAGTTAGCTTGAGTTATAACTGGAGTTTTACCCCTAATTTGACTCCTGTCCACACAAAAATCTCTAGCTTGAGTTAAGTGGTGCTTTGGCCTTGAGCTAGCTGACCTGTCAGGAGTGGGTAGGTTGAAGCCTGAGTGATGCTGATGCTCCAGCTATTAATGCAGCGAGGATGCAACAGCTCAAGTTACAACAACTCAGCAGCAGCCAATCCAATCACTCTGCTAATCCAATCACTGTGCCACTAATCAAATCAATGTGTAACTCCAGTGCTGTTTTAAAGTGTGGTCCGTCTCATTCAAGCTACCATATCTTGAGTGCAGTAACCTGAGTGTACTAACTCAAGCTAACTGTTGCAGTGAAGACAAGCCCTAACAGTTCTGTAGTGGCAGTGCACTTTGACCTACTGCTGTTTCAAACAGCAGAAGGTCAGAGTGCACTACATGCACTATGTCTATGTGTGGACAAGCCCTAAGATTATTTCTCAAAAAATAAGCATACCAATCCCACATGGTACAGGGACCTCTGCATGCATACAATGGCATGGCTTGACTTATTTTTATTTCAGTATGGCTCCTTAATTTTAAATTTTAATACAAAAAATCTTTGAAAAACCAGTTTGAGTGGTTGGACATTTATTCAAAGTATCCTTTTACTATGTGAATGTGAACAAATGTAAACACCCTTTTGCTATCATTTTGAATATATTAATTTAAAAAAAAATCACCCCAGGTTTCTTGTACTCATGGGGCCTCTTCTCCCTCCTCCCACCACCTACAGGAACACAACTGCCTTTCAGCGGTGCTTTGTATCTCAACAACCACTTTTGACTCTCTCCCTCTAATCTCGCTTCTCTTCTGCTGCCTTCTCCTCTCCCACAGCCCATTCCCTACAACTGAGTATACTAAACCTCTTAAAAATAATCATAAAATGTTAATAGAAATACTAAAATTATTCAAACATGAAAATCCAGAATTAAGTCTTACATTATATGTTTAAAATGCTATTTTCCCCTAGGTAATTCAGTGTATACATCAATTCACCCACTCACTGGAAAGCTCTGAAATATTTAATTAAAATGGTACCTTAAAATGGAAAGATGTATATGCACGGTAGCAATTTTCAAAATTCCCAACTGAACATGTAATTTAATGAATGAGAAATAAGGGATATATCAGGCAATACAAACAGAAACAGTGCCCAATAAGGGCTCAATTCCTTTAAGGTGCTGAACACTCTAGTCCAATCCAGCAAAACACTTAACTACATGAATATTCCCACTGATGTCAACAGGACTGTTCTCAGGCTCAGAATTAAACTTGAGTGTTTTGCTGGACTGGGTTTGAGTTCACAGAACCTTTCAGGGTTGAACACTACATTTGAATGAAATACATGACATATAATTCAGCCTACAATAGTTAGACACAAAGGTTCATCCTCTGCTCTGAATTTCCTTGCTTCTGGGGTTTTGTTCCAAATCTTAGGGCTTGTCTATACTTGCCACGCTGGTTCGGCGGCAGGCAATCGAACTTCTGGGTTCGATTTATCGCGTCTTGTCTGGACGCGATAAATCGAACCCAGAAGTGCTCGCCGTTGACTCCGGTAATCCTGCTCGGCGCGAGGAGTACGCGGAGTCGACGGGGGAGCCTGCCTGCCGCGTCTGGACCGCGGTAAGTTCGAACTAAGGTACGTCAACTTCAGCTACGTTATTCACGTAGCTGAAGTTGCGTACCTTAGTTCGAATTGGGGGGTTAGTGTAGACCAGGCCTTAGATGCTACTAATAACACAATTTCTGATTTAATTTTCCTTTATTTTTCACTAGTAATTTGCTTTAAAAGACTGATACAATTATAATTAAAGATCTGCCAGGGTAAGAGTCCACAGAAAGGCTTTGATTCTGGAAAGATTTATGTATCTGCTTAACTTTGTGCACCAGGCCGTAGTGCCATATGTCAATGAGACCACTTGCAGGGTGTAAATCTGGCCCCACTGAAGTCAATGGGAGTTTTGCCATTGACTTTAAAAAAGGTCAGGATTTGGCCCAAAGTCCATGGAATTAATCCCTTGTTTAATTCCTCTCATAATAATGTAATTAATTTCATTATTTGAAAAGTTTGCATAATTATTAAGGATTTTTAAAATATTCAAAATATTCTTAATGGTCTGGTTAAATGTCAAATTGAACCATAGCTTCCCCAAACCAACTTTTGTTTTTTTTGTAACAGCTGTGCTGATCTTAATTAAAATTGTTACACAGAGTACCAACACAAATTGTTTCTTGAATTACAAACTTTGGTTATTTTTTCCTCTGATACCTTACCATATTAACCTCTATTATGAGCTGAGCCTAAGAAATATCGATAAATAATAAAGGTATTCTAAGTTTCTAGTGCAACAAAATGGCTTAGACTTACAACTTTGTTTTGCACTCCATAGCATTAGTTTAAATGGACCAAATTAATATTTTTTCTAATTTGGAGTTAAGAAAAACAACAAGACGGAGCTAGGACCTGGTATGTCAATTTTCAATACAAATATATTTTTATATACAACTGCTGATAGATCATTTAATTGCAGATGTGCTGATGAATCTTGTATTGAAGGGAAACTGTCAAATTGGAAAACAAATAATAAGTGGAACATTTTTTACCTAATACTGTCACAAGGAATATCTTATATATCTAGAACAGAAAAAGATAATAAAAAGCATTCATTTTTTTCTCTCATTTGCATGCTGCTCATGCACTGTTTCAGGGGGAGCTCACATGCATGCTCTACCCCAGGCTCTGCAAGAGGATGTTCCCCATTACCAGTTAAACTGAAACTAAAAAGTCAGCAGACAGGTGAGTGCACAGAAAGAAAAGGGGCAGGATGGTGATGTTGCTCTGGGGCCCATCCAAAAGTCTGTTACAAACATAGCTGCGGAGCAGGAACACTGATTAATTTTTTTTACTTTGGTCATAATTCTCTGGATGGGTGGTGTTGGTGGCCTCTGATATACAAGGATGCCAGACTAGATGGCTAACAAAAAAATTCTCATTAACACTGGAACACACAGAGCAAATACAAATTACTATTTTAGTTAAATCTTTAGTCTTAAAGATATTAAAATAAGTGGTCACGTATCTACAATTTCTTTCAATATACATGGTCAATCGTTCACACTTGTACAGTCTATAATATTCAGATCAGCACAGCTTGAGACTTGTTCATCTGTTTTATACAGGCAAACATACATTTGACTAAATATTTCTGCAAAGTTAAATGTCTACTTTGTGCTGCTATAGAAAAATGAATAAATACACCATTTCCATACTAGAGACACAAATAATGTTACTAACAAAACAAAATGAAAATATAACTTTGTACTCTTTCAATGGTTATGGAATTTTTTCTACACTACTTTATATTTGAAAAATTAGCACAATACATGTAGCATTTCAAATATCCATTTATATTTACAGGCTTCATTTTGTGTAATTTAAAACATATTTTTGAGATTTAAAATATTATAGGACAGAGACAGATAAGTGGTTATTATTTTTATATAATGAATTCATATTTATCCTAAAATAAATATAAGGCGTTTTTACATAAAATGATTGTTAAAGAAAAGAAAAGAAAAGAAAAGAAAAGAAAAGAAAAGAAAAGAACACTGCAGGTCCACTGATGAAGACCTTAACCAGCCCTCACTACAGAAAAATTCCTAGTAAATCAATGGGAGTAAGGACTTCAGAACTGACCACTATATGCATCGCACTATGTGCTTGATCCCCCCCAAGATCCCACTCAACAAGTACCCAATAGGCTGCTCACCGCAGTAAGGGCTGGTAGGATCAGGTCCAATTTCTTTAAGCTAAATTCAGTACTGGACTTCAACTTATCTTGTTCCAAATTGTATGTGTCCTTTGACCACCATAATCCTTTTTCTCAAGAACAACCCAACATATTAAAAAGATTCACATAAAGTAGTTCAAGCATCATCACTGTTCTTTCTATCCTCATAATAGAAACCTTGGAAAGAGACAAGCCAACAAATATGCCTTTTCTGGGATCAGTGGAGAAAGAAATGGAGGATGATTTACATGATGTCAGAAATAAAATTTGTTACTACAATTAGTCAACTCTACAAGCAGATTAGGAACACATATTTGGTAACACTACACTCTTTACTTACCCATAGTTTTCAGCTGAACCATTGACTACATGATCTGCCCATGAACTTGCACCATTGTACCACCTTTACAATGCAGTTAAAATAAAGAGGTGTTATAAATAAATATAGGTAATATTAAAAACACTATAATTCACGTGTCATATTTGCTTCTCACTAATCTGGAGATTTTTTTCAATTGCTTCCAATACGTTTTCTGCATTTCCTCTTCTTTGCTAAGAGGTATCAGGAAAAACAGGTGCTTTCTGGCAACAGTTATGTATATTTTTTCCAGATCTAATTCCCAACATATTTCAGTAAGTGAATTCTATCATTTTCAGCAAGTTTGCCTATTAACTTCTTTCTTTAAGGTTTGATCCTTCAAAGCTTTCGCATGCAATATTTCCATTGCCTTTGAGTCTGTGTGGAATACTTTTAAGATTAGACCATAGAGGGATAGTGTCAAACTTAAAAGCCATATACTGTAAACCAAACCATTTTCTTTACCTATGTCCTAAAAACACCTCTAAATAGTAAAGCATTTTTTAAAATTCTGTTTACTGTTATCTATTGAAGATTTTTTTTGGTGGGATTTTTTATTTGTTTTGGAGGGAGGCGGAGGGGGGTGTTGCATTTCATTCAGGCCCCACAATGAAAAATCAATGAAATGACAATCACTACTCTGCATTGCTTTAGATGAGCTAAATGATTTAAACATGTGTAACATGACATCAGCAACATCAGTCAAAACAACATCAAGTGGTTTGTAGAAAGATTATTGTAGCGGGGTGTCCACCCGCTCCTGCCCTGAAGGGCTTAAAACAGCCCTGGGAGAGGGCTGTTGTAGGGAAAACCTGGGCTGATTGGGGAAGTAGCCACAGCTGGGCCACGCCCCAATCAGGCCACAGCTGGCCCTATAAAGAGGTTGTGGGCCGGGAGCACAGGCAGTCTCTCTCTAGGCGCAGAGAGAGAAGGGCCTGGCTGCTTGGGACTTGAGTAAGGTACTGGAGTGGGGAATGGGGCAAGGGAGCCGGAGAGCTCCCGCCTTGAAAACCCCAGGCTGCAGACCTAGCCAGAGGCCTGAAAAGGTACTGCGGTTGCAGGGGTGCAGCCGGCGGTAGGTGGAGGCAGCAGGTTCAAACCCCCCCTTGCCAATAATGAGCGATATGGACTGCAGTCTACCCCAGAGTGCGGGGGCTAGATGAGGACTGGCAGTGAACACTGAGGCAAGGTGGGGACAGAGGGTGGGGATTCCCCTGGGAGGGGAGCCCAGAGAGTGGGGTACTGCCAGGGGGCAGCACCCAAGGGAGAGGGGCACCGGGGTCTAGGAGGGAGATGGGGCCAGCGACAGTGGGACATTGGCCTGCAGAGGGTGCTCCAAGGCTGGAAAGCTAATTTCCATACCGGACCAGCAGGAAGCGCCATAGGGGTGAGCCGCGCATCGCTACAGTTATGTTTGAATGGAAGCAGAATTGGAAAAAGAGACTCTGGGCAGATGGAGTCTCAACCTCTAAGTTAAATACCTGTCCTTCTTCCAGAAACCACATGATGATCTTCTTACCATTCATTACCCTAAAACTCTGGAAACGTGCAATTCATATAACTCTGGGTTAGAGAGATGGTGATGCAAATCAACTTTGGTACTACATGGAATCCTCAGATCTCCTGCAAGTGGCCTGGGTATCTAGCATTGAGACTACAGTGGTTTCATGGATCAATGATCTTCTGAAGATGGTGAACAAGAACCAGGACCAGGATTTTCAAAGAAGTCTATGGGATCCTTGAAAATCAAAGGGAGTTGGATGCCTAATTTCTCTGGGCTCCATTGAAAATCCCAGACCAGGTGTCTATGCTGAACTTCTTAGTGATTTTGATACTGCTGAACACAAGGTATTTGCTGAAACTATTGCAAAATATGGCAAGAATGGATGGAGTAGTTCTTGAGTAACACAGTTCTTTCCTCTGAGGTCTCAGGGTGTAGAATTGGAGCAATCTCAGGTGGAGTATCACACAATTCTGCTGTCACCCTTCCTGATCAATGTGTATATTAGGTAGTTGAGGGAAGACAATGAAGTGGTATGGGCTTTACTTGCGTCTTTACTATGTGGATGTCACACAGCAGTTCATCTCCATTTCATATCAAACTTGGCTGGAGCAGTTGATGGGGTTATGTAATATCTGGCCAGGACCAAGGCTTGGATGAGGCAATTTACACAGGACCCACTAGCTTCTGGATCAGGGATCGGCAACCTTTGGCACGCAGCCCATCAGGGAAATCCAGTAGCGGTTTGCCAGTCCAGGACAATGGGGGCTGCAGGAAGTGGCGTGGGCCAAGGGATGTGCTGGCCGCCACTTCCCGCAGTCCCCGTTGGCCTGGAACGGCGAACCGCGGCAAGTGGGAGCTGTGATTGGCTGAACCTGCGGACGCTGCAGATAAACAAACCGTCCTGGCCCGCCAGCGGATTTCCCTGATATGCCGCGTGCCAAAGGTTGCCGATCCCTGTTCTGGATTATCAGACAATAGCAGAAAGCAAGAGTGCTCCTGATCATTGTGCTTGACCAACATGTTGCAAACTTTTGTTTCAGGTTCAAAATTTGTATCAGTGATCTGCTATTTTGTCAACTCAGGTTTGGATTACTGAAACCATAGAACATGATGGTCCGTTCATTAAAGGGTGTTTCTTAGAGGAGGTGTGTTATCCTTGGTGATCTTCACTGATTTTTCAATCCATTTCTGGTTTTAATCTGTAAAGCCTTAACTGGGTTGGATCTTTGGTTACCTTTGAGATTCCATCTCTTTTCATATTTTAACATGACAATTGAGATCATCTTAGGCACTCAATATCTTAGTTAAATTGGGAGAATGCTAGGGGTGGGGGAGAGGTGCATTTTCAGTTAGGGGTCCTCAACTGTGAAATCTGATTCTCATATCAGATTGCTAAACTGAGAATTTGTTTACTTCCGGGTCATACTGAAATGCCCATTTGTTCCCTCAGCCTTTTCCTTAGGGATAGGAGTAAGCTGATGGGTTAGAGTGTGGTAAAGTTCTAATTGTGGCTTGATCTCAGAGATTTGGTGCAACTGAGTTGGTTTGATTTTTGGTTGTTTTATTTTTTCTATCTCGGGCATTTTGGACTGGATGTAGATGCATCCAGAGCAGTGGATAAGACCATTTGTTAAAAATTGCAGTACATATGTAAAATACAGTCAACTCTTGTTTTCTGCATTGTGACTCCATGGCCTTGGAATGGCTCATATTCCATTCTGACTCAATGACCTTGCCTAATAGGTAATTTATATTATTATGATGATTATGCTTACATTTATTTTTAATAATTTATAATATAATAATTTTAGGAAGAGAAGTGTCTTTTTGTGTCTTTATTTTTATTAATAACAGCATTTAAAACTAAATCAGTGCTGTATTAATTATAAAGTTGTCATAGTGGCTGTTTATGAAATGATCAAGACCATCTTGATTTTAGAAAATTAATTGTTTGGATTAATTATATTGTAATAACTATATCAATAAAACATCAAACCTCTATTTAAAAATATTATAGAGGTCTTTTACTATAGACAATTGTAATCTATAAATACGAATCTAAATTTTACAAAAGGGATATAAATATGATTGTATTTGTGTATGATGTTTGAATGTAGACTAAATAAATAGCTTGTTGTTAATGAGTTACCAATTCTCTCAACTCTTCTCACACTTTTGAGCTGACTAGATGTAGTCTCAGAATTGTGCAAATTTTCAGATGTCCCTTCTAAATTTTGGAGGGACAATAGTCAGGGCCGGCTCCAGGGTTTTGGCCGCCCCAAGCAGCCAAAA